CCCCCAAAACCAGGGCTGTGCTATTGACTGAAGTTGCCTTTAGGCTATCACCAAACGGGGGATATTATCTTATTCAGAGTAGAATTGTAAATGGGCTGATTTATCAAAGTCATGCTCATACTGTGCCGGAACAACATATGGGGAACTGCAGCTTTTTCTTTCCTCTTCCTTACTATCGTCATTTTCCTCTACTTCTTTTGTAAGTTTGTCACTCTCTTGTGAACTGCTATTTTCGGGGTGCCTTGATAGTCGAAGCAGACTTCGTGCTGTTAAGGCTAGAGAGGTGAGCAGAGTAAGCCTGATTCCACGTTTGTACTTCTCTGTTGACATCCACCCCTGGGCCATCCTATGACCTTATGCAGTTGCGAGCGCTGAAAAACCTTACTAAAACAAAAACAAACAGCGCAGAGAGCAATAATCCAGTCTCGGTAACCTGTTCAGTGTTTGAACACAGAGTAACGTAATACATATTGCAACATAACGTGGACACCGTTGTCATACTGTTCGTGCCCTTGACACTTGGTCGCTTTTAAGGACAAGCGGGCTAACCCAAATTTCGGGGGTTTCCAGAAATCTTGACCTACACCAAAAGTGGACATTGCCCTACCTATAGGAGAATTTTGGTTTCATCGGTGGGAGTATTTGTTTGGTTGAAGAGAAAACTCTCCTTGTCTTTTTAAAAAACTGAACAAGGGTCCAAGATTTTACCTTCGATTTTCTCAAAACAGCATCTTTTCAGGATAGCCCCCTTGTGCTTAAAAGCGATCTATTTTTTTTGGTATTCTGGTTTTGGGGCTAACACAGGCTAGGCTTTTCGGTACCTTTTTACTTCTTGGGGAGTTAAAAAAAAAAAAAGAAATCGGACGCTGGTGCAGATAACGCCAAGATGTTTGGCGCAAAATTATGCAGCACTCATACCTCAAAGAGAACGACTTGGCGTCTGTGGTGTATCGGGTAGGCCCCTAGACGTTGTACACAAGAGAAATGAGCTCAATTCCTTTGTGGGGTGCTATATTTTACCTTGTGTTTATGTCTTTCTGCTTGGATGTTGTATTTCACTCAGCTTGGGTTGGTTGTTAACCATGGTCGAATCAGGCCGCCTCTTTATTTATCCAAACTACGCGTATGGAGATAAACACACAGAGAGAGAGAGAGAGAGAGAGAGAGAGAGAGAGAGAGAGAGAGAGAGAGAGAGAGAGAGAGAG